TATATCTGAGGATTAGCCTTGCTGTGAAGCTGGCAGGATTTGTGCAGGTCAGAAGTGATGGAAAGAGTGGAAAGAGAATTAAAAAATGAGGTACCTGAATGTCTATTTTATCTGTTTGTATTTTAATTTTAACCTTGTGCAGATTTTGGAGAATGCTACATTTTTGCATAGTTTCATGAAGCAAAACCAGAAAAATTTATCTTTCCAGTAACCATAGAAACACAGAAACAATGGTACTGGAAATTGTTACACTTTCTCTGTCCTTGCAGGAACAGGTTTATGTTATTGCTGGATGATGCAAAAATCAAGCCACATCCATGTCCTCAGCAGTGTTACCTGGCAAGGCTGCCATAGCCAAGAGGGAATGAACCTCATAAAAGTCTTCAGGCAGCTGGAGCAGCTGGAGCCCCGGCTGTTATGGAATATATTAACTCTAGCTGCTATTTGCTATTCCTGTTTTCAGCAAATGATTTTATGGGTAATTAAATAGTGAAACTGTAACCATGTTTGAGTACGTGTTACACTGACCAAAAGATTTTGTTGTCCAAAAGACAGTGGCCATCAGCCTGTTGACTCCTTTCATGTCCTCACATCCTCCCAAAGAAAGGCCAGAGAGAAATGCAACGTCTCAGAAACAGTCACCATCAACATTTATCTCTAAAGGGAAGAAGAGCACATCAATATCTTTTTAAAACCTCTTTTTGTATAAGAGTCTCTCATTACCCAGCTCCTTTGCCTTTGTCTTTCTATCATTTAAAATCACACTGTCTCTTGCCTGCTTTAAGCTACTGCTGCAAGACACAAATGTAGATTAAATTGTACTATTTGTTTGATCTTCGTAGAATAGCAGAAGTTTTAAGCAGTAAAGGAGAGGATGGAGATACCAAGTTGTCTGTCTCCCTTTCAGATTCCTGTAAGTAACCTGCCACCTTCCCAGACAAGAACTTGAATGGGGACAGCTTTCTTCTGATTGCCTCTGCCAGACTTCCTGAGAGCGAAGGGCTCCTTAGTACTCACTAGACAGATCTTAATTAAAACAAACCAACCCTTTGACCTGCCTAGGCTTCACCGACCTCACATGTAAGTATTGGTTTCTAATCTGTTTTTCCTTTTAGAGACCATGTCTAAAACTCGTGTGTGTGCAGACATACACAAGGCTAGTAATAGAAAGTCAATATGAGTGGAGGTCTGAAAAGAAAGGAGTCTTTTTCTTCAGTTAATCCATATGATTCTTCAGTTAATAGTGATTATAGTCTGGCTGTATAGATTCATGACCTAGGCAATGCAAATGTTCAGCTGTCCGATTCAGCTGTTTCCTACTGACCACTCCAAACTGGTTTTCCAAAAATGTAATAGCCCTTTCCGTTAATAGGTGATCTTGGGTTTTGTAGACAAAATATAATAAAGTGTGACTCTTTCATGAGCAATTTTAAACATTCAGTTGGGGTAATTTACAGCCAAGGGTTGTAAACTGAAGAGATGATTGACTTTTTCAGTATGCAAATACAGTACCAGGCAATAAACAGATACCAGTTATGAATTGCATGAAATACAATTAACTTCAGCATCACAAGGAAAGTGGCTTGATTTTCTTTTTTTTTTTTTTTTTTTCTTTTCTTTTTTTTTTTTTTCAGTGCTTGCATGACATTTTCTACTCTCAGTTATTCCTGTGTAGTCCCTAGGGAGAGCTGGTGTGGACTCACTCCCACAGAGCAGAGGGCACCTGATCGTAAACTTGCTCAAATCTTAATAGATTTGATAGGCTTTGCACAATGTCACTTGTCATGCTTTATACATAGTTTTCTCATTCTTGCTTGCTATTACTGGGAATCCCTTCTTTCTACCAGTGGCAAAATTTAGGCAGAAATACTGGAAAGGGTTTGGTAGTGGCTGTCCAGGGAGGTCATGCAGTCTCCATCCTTGGATAGTTTCAAGACTTGCAAAGATAAAAGCCCTGAACAGCCTTGATTCAGCTCAGAGCTGACCCTGCTTTGTGCAAGAGCTTGCCTGGAGAAACCTGCTGACCTGAATTATCTTGTGAACTTACAAAAGTGAAGGGAAGGTAAGTAGAGAGGAAAGGAGGACCCTGAGTTGAAACTGCAGGTAATTTTGAGGATACTGAAAATCAAAGAGATTTAAATAGAGGAAAATGCAGGGAAAGAATCCTATTGGAAAAAGAAACAATAAAAAAAGTAAGTAGACAACTGAAGAAATAAGAATATTCAGATCCTTTACAAACTTTCTTTGAAAGGTTGTAAAAAAGAGAGAGCAAAGAAGCAGCTAATAATGACTTTTTGGAAAAAAAAAAATGCATTTTGACTATTATGACTCCTTTCTGCTTGCCTTTCTCATTTCCCTTATAATAGGTAGGAGCCATGGCAGCCAGCCACAGCAACAGTACTTGTCTGTCTGAAAAGAAGAAAGGAGCCCCCGCTTCCTTAGAATGCCCATCACTGAAGTTATGTCAGGCAGGGCACACAAGGGGGCTTTGTTAATGAGCAGGCTGGGAGCCCTTTTTCCCTGGGAACTGAAGAGCTATAATGAAGGCAAACCTGAGGACAACACCTGTATATTCATGTGGCCCATCTCCTTCAAATGTAGGTGAGAGCACAGCAACTTGCAACAGAAGAGAGGGGGCCCTGGTTGTTTTAAAGTTACACGGTTGTGTCTTCCTAAATTAATACATCCAGTTGTAAAGCTTTAAGTCTGTAAACATTCCTTGGTAATGATCCATAGAGGGACCTGGTTAGATGGACCAAATACCTTTCTGTTTGTAGCATGCAGTATTGCGGTGAAGCATTTTCCTGCTAGTTCTGTCCCTGCGCTGGAACAGGTACCTGTAGCTTCTTTGGCAGATTTTCCTTGGCTGGGCAGAGCCTGTGTGCAGATGGTACTGTATCAATAACAGCAATTATGGGCCTTTGGTGGGTTATTTGCAGTTTAGGTCACCAACAATAAAAATTGCTTGAAATAAAAGCAGAAGAATGGGGCTTCAGTGAAAGAAAAAAAAATGAAGAGGGGAAGGAATCGAAGGAATTCAATATGCAGGGAAGTGCTCCAGATGTCACAAAGCAGCATGAGACCTGGGTCTATAACCTGCCTGCAGGAATCAGATAAGCTGCCCTTCTGCAACCCCAATTGCCAGACATCAAAGGAAAAGCAGAGATTAGAGGTATCCTTGTGACTGTGCTGCAGCTGTAACATACATTTCTGAAAGGATTTGATGCTACTAGATTGCTCTTAGCAAAGCAGCTGGGTTCATATTTTTCCTCTCTCCAGCAAGGAGTTTGCTGTGGAAACTGCAAGCTTCATGGAGTTTCTCCTTCATAAGTTTTGTTCCTGCTTCTCTTTCAGAAAGCCACCCTTTCCCCCAAACACTGAAAAGCTGCTGGCATTCTCCATGCAGAGGAATTGATAGAAGGGCGATAAGATGGTGTTAAAACCTAGTCACCCAGAAGAGCTGCTCACCCAGAAGTCATCTGGAAGCTGAGAACTGTGAGTATTAGGGAAGAAGGACTTGCTCTTCTGTTCTGGATGGATAGTTATTGTCTCTCCATTTGTTCCCCAGTTTTCCTATGAAACAGGGATTTTACATATATTGATCTGCTTCTGAAATGGTCACATAATGCATTCTTCCTCACATCAAGGCTGCACAGCTCACAGACTAAACTTCTGCCTTTTGGTTGTCCTTGGTTGTGTAACTGGTATCACGATGACTTGCCACATCGTGGTCAGGGCAATTTTGAATGCAAATGAGGAATGAGGACGAACAACCCCTTTGTCACCTGAGGCTTAGAACAGATGGGCTGTATGGTAGAAGAGCTGGCATGTCTGGTGCGTGCAGCAGGAACTTGGTCAATAAAGCAACTGGAAGTGTTTGTTAATAAATGCAGTTTGAAGCTCTGCATGTCACTATCCATAGTCTCGAGCACAGGGTCACTCTAACATCTCATAAACATGCACTGTGTCTATATCCTGTAGTAGGCCGCTACAAGTGAAGCAGCTTTATGGTCTTATTCACAGTTTGGTATGTCTAATTTTTATGGGTCTGGCAATCTGCTCAAAGCTTAAGCTGGTTACTTTTAAATGCAGCCTAAAAAGCTGAAACACTCTGCTTGCAGGACCATAACCACTTCAACTTTATGGGCTAAGATAAAAAGTTCTCTCCCACTGAGCCCCTCCTAGTAGGTCATTAAAATTAAGGGCAGTGTATTAAAAATCTGTTACATCTTTTATTAGTGAGTCATAACCTGTGCACTTGTGGGAAAATGAGCTTGCCAGTCTAATAGGTATCTGTACTGCTGTCTTTCCAGTCTTTGAGAGGTGTCTGTTCTTTATTTTCAGGTGCTTGTCATGATGGAAGCTATTCACTGCAGGAAAAGCAATTACTTGACACATACTGTAATACTGTGTAGTAGCCCAGCCTAAGATGGTACTAGCTGGAGAGGACAGAAATCTTTAAAACAGAATAAATTTACTTTTCGCATAGATTCAACAAAAGTGTAATTTGGGGAAGCCGCTAGTGCAATTAAATGTTCCTGTTTGGTTTTGTATTTTCTAGGCAATACAAAAGGAGGCAGAGGAGATGAAACAACCTGTAGTAAGTAACACTCAAGGAGCAATGCAGAATAAAGAGGGCAGCACTGAATTGTCTGCTTTCAGCAGTTTCAACAAGACAATCAATTAATCCCTAGACTCCAAATATACACACCCTATAAAATTAGATTTTTAAACATAAATTTTCTCATACACGTGAAGATTGTATTTAAGGTATATTCTACAAATACTCTATTTGCCCCATGTCATTTCCATCTCATCAAAGGTAATTGTTGAGGATGCTGAAGTAATTTATAGGCACTCATGTGCTCACAGATCTTATGTGCTTAGTCCAGAGATGTCTCTTCTACATATGCATCACTGTACAGAGTATCTGTGGGGAAAACAAAGAAAAAAGAAAAGGAAAAAAAGGAAAAAAAAAAAAAAAAAGCTATTGTGCCAAATCCTGTCTCTGACAAAGCATACAAAGCCTTACATTGATGGTAACTGCTGACTGCTGGATGGCTTCTTATAGAGGGCAGAATGGAGATTCGTGCAATGTGTAAAAACTTGGCATCTCCTCAAGCTTCTTTCCTTACGTGGGTTGCTCAACTTCTTCAGGTAAAGAAAAAAAAGACTAAAAACTTTTTTGTTAAACTTTCAGGAAAAGGTCAACAAATCATATCAAAGTCATAGTTGTGGGCAAAAGATAGGAGAAGATTTCAGAGTTTGTTGAGTTAAAGAAACATTTCAAAATATTAATAATGAACAACAGCTGAAAACAATGAGTGTAATTGTGGGAAGAATATTTCCATTTCAGGTAACCAATTTTAGGCCTCTTACCCACCCAATCTCTCATGAGCCCTTCTACAGCCCATAGCAAAAGAGCAGAAGACAAATTGCTTCAGGAGAATATCAAGAATGAATCTGCATTAGTAGCTCAGCACAGGAGTGCAGTTTAGATTGCAACCATGTACTCTCCCCTGCTCCAAATTGTGAGGTCTCTGAACATGAATGAGATTTGGTTGAAACATACTCCAGCCACTACTGGCAGTCAGTTTACAAGAGCAGACGAGCTAAACTGAAGTAAAGAGTCTCAGGGTAAGTCTAGTTACCTATCTCAGGCTTCTCAGACCAGATACTGAAAGAAACACTCCTCTCTCATCTGTGTCTATGTTTACAGATGAGGCTCCCACACAATGGAGAATTCCTTCCTCCTCTAATTAAATTGACGAGTTGACTGTGGTGAGTGGCTACATTGAGTCTTTTCACTTCTTAAGAATTCATGTTGTAAGTAGTCTCTCTGCTTGACCATTAATTTAAATACTCCTGCAAAATCTAGATTATTTTATGTTTTTCTCACTTTCATGCAGGCTTAAAAGCATTAACTCAATGTGAGGTCACAGAATTATTTTAGCTGTGGATCAGTTGCTTAATAGCAGTTTTCTCAGAGTCATGTCATCGTGCATGCTGTAAGGCTCAAGTAAGTCTTTCATTTTCTGCCTACGTATTAATGGATTTAACAACTCCCATGCATAAAAAGAGAAATAGGCTCATGGGAGAGTTTCAGTACTTGGGTTTATGGTGCCCAAAACATACAGAGAAGCATGTATCTGCAAAATCAACCAGCTATTTCTGTAACGACTTAACAAATGCTCTCACTTTTAAATCAAATTCTGCTTGAAAGTCAGGCATCAGTATAATCACCTTTTACATAATACAGGTGGGCTCTCACAGTGTTTTACCGTTAGTAATTAATGGTTTGTCTTTAGTTATATATTGTCAACTAAACAAATTTATAGGTTGCAATAGGCAAAAGCTAATAGGTTTATTTTTAGCCATGTTTTTAATGGATAAATATTTAGTCTGATTACAAAGTTAACTTTTGCCTGATGAAATACTAAATGGTCCATAAACAAAATATTTGATTTTGACTTTACTGTGATACTGTCTATCTTTTCTAGTGCCAGAAATATTTTTGATTTTATATAGGACAATGCATGTGTATTTCTTTTAAACAAACTTCAAAACTAATAGAATATGTTCCTGCCTCATAATAAACAATTGTCGAATGATGTTTATTAAAATTGACTCTCAACTGACAGTTAATAAATGCGTAGTTCTATTATGCATGCTAAATTCAGCATTCCAAAAACTTAAAAGCAGATAGATCAAAACAGTGGAGATAAAAAAGTCACAAAGACAAAATACAGTAACACCAGTAAACGACAGGGAAATAATTCAGGCTTAAAAATGACTTATTATTTAGTAACTTGTAACAACAATTTATAGAACTAAATTAGAGGCATATCAGAGTCTTTCTGATGTTTTAGATATGCAGTTTCTCTAGTGCATATAGTTTGATCACACAGCAAAAGAATTCACATTCCAAAGTCCCCTTCAGAAAAGCAAAATAAACACTTTTGCCACGTTTCTGCTTCCAGGTTACTTTTACTTGTGGATAATGAATGAAGAAAGAAAAGGTTACAAGACATTTCAAGTATAAATCCATTTTAATTAATACCCCAAAACATTTCTTCAGCATGTTCAGACTGTCCATGTGTGGTGTGTTTCATATGTATGTTTCGTGTGTACCCAGACAACATCTGCACCAAAGCATACCAATTAATACTGGATTTAACAGGCTCTGCGTCCTTTACTGTAAGCAATCCACTGGCTCTTTGATGTTACATAGGTTTGGTGGGATGATGGAAAAAGTTGCTTTAAGGGTGTATTTTCACCTCTGTTTCTAAAAGGTGAAGGGCAGAATTTTTAATCAAGGAGCAGTTTATCTTTAATTATGAAAAATATAATTAGGCATTATCACATAATTGCTATTACTGATGGAGAAAGTCACATTTTTGTAAGTAGTGACCCATGCTGTATTATCGCTCTAGTGTTTACTGCATAATGAATCTGTATTTGTGTTTGGCAGCTAGCCAGCAAAAATTAAAAGGTAATCAACATGCTTCTCTGCAGTCTGGTCATCAAAGTCACTGGCTCCACAGATGAGTAAATAACAAAGTCAAGTTGTGATGTCCTAACAGAAACTCTTCTTAAGGAATAACTGCATTTATCTCCTCTGTTAAGACATCAAACAATACTTGAAAATAACCATATACAAAAAGCTTTGCAAAATAGATTAGAAGAACTGTGCTATACATCTGGTGTTGAGTTAAAAAACAGTTTAATGTCTCAAGGCACCACCACGGTAGAATTTTATACCTGCAAGTAATCATCTAATACACTATTGTACAGTTAAGGTAATGTATTAATAAATAGCTTGTGCAATTTTGGGAAGCAATCTATAAAGGAATGTTAGATATACAGTAGGCACGTACTATAATACAAATAAAAAAAAAATCCTAGAAAAAGCATGCTGAGCACCTTTGGGTATAGGTTGAATTTCTTAGTCTAAACACTATGTAAATCTTAACTTACAAAAGGTAAAACTGAACTCTTACAGCAACTGCTTATTTATTTTTCCTGGGTATTTGCCTCTATGCTGGAGGATTACTCTGAGGGACAGAGGACTCTGGTACTGGCTGTAAAGGGCTTTCTTGTTCATTCAATTGTGCATTCAAGTTTTCAGAAGTGAGGAGAGAAGAATTGAAAACTATTTCACTTAAGTCTGATTTTATGGATACAAGATGAGGTTCTTGAAAACTTAATGGTTCTTCTACTAACACCTGTGTATTTTCTCGTGTCATTCCCATATCCGATGGTGACTTTCGTTTCATTCTTGTGTATGATTTGTCTAAATTCTCCATGCCTTGGTCAGTTTTCTGAAATCGCCCAAAGAACCAGATGAAGAAACCAAACAGAGCAAAAGCCAACAAACTTGGAATAAAAGCCAGGCATTTGACATCAAGGCTAGAGCCTATGTATCTGCTGTGTAAGAACATGTCTCCTTCGGCATAGGTCCGGTTGGTCAGAGGGTTAGTGTTATTGGATCTCCACTCCCAAGATAACTTAGTTCTGTTAAGGTCTTTCAAGCTTTCTGAGTCCTTCACTGTGTAGATCTTCTGTCCAGGACCGATATATTGGCCATATTCATGAGGCTTGTAAAATATTTGGTTCTTCCACATATTTAGATCCAAGATTAAAACAAGAAAGATAATTCCATAGTTAAACCATTTGCCTGTTTGGAAAGAGAGAGAGAGCAAAAAAGGAAAATGAGAAAAAGAAAAAAAAAACGCAAAAGAAAAAAAAAACTGTTGAGTCATCTAAAATGGATATATCAGAAGCAGTACAAATATGTTCATATGTAAAAACTACTGACAGAAAAATCCTTTTTTTATTAATCTGTAAAGCAAAGTTGTAATAAGATTTCTACCACAGTCAGATTTATGCTGAATATCCCTTAGTATTTTGCAGTTAGGTCTGGGTACATAATAAATAATTTTGTAATGTAAGCACAGCAGTATATCAATTGAATTCACATTGCAGTTTGTAGGTGACCTGTTGATTAGACCATTAGGTGATGTGGTACAAATCAATAAACCTAAAAAGCATTAATTTCAGAGCTCCAGAAATACTCACATGGAAATTCTCCTTGAAAAGGCCATATTTAATAGAATTATTTATATGCCAGTAATGAATGAAGTGAGGCTCTTTGAGGGTTTTGTAAGTATGTACATTTTAAAAGTACATACATATATTGTTTAGTACACTAACCATGGTGCCCAGATACATGCAGGAGGGGCAATTGCATAGATTGATTTAGAGGTATTATGCCCTTAAGAAATAGCAAGGGCTGATTTTAGTCTTGGGAGACTAGTTAATTTAGCTTTCCTATACTCTGTGTGGTGAGAAACTCCTCCAAGGAGTGATTCATAGTCTAACATTAAGCTCCTGCAATAGTGGAGGAGGAACCTTTTCTCCTTTTATTATTTAAAATTGCTCTTTGCATGTCTCCTCCAGGCATTCAAAATAGATAAAAGGTAACATTATGCAATTGCAAAGTTGGCCCTGCTTTGAGCAAGGTATCAAAACAGATGACCTTCAGGTATTCCTTTCCAAGCTAAATTAATCAATGAATATACACAGGCATAAAACAAAATTACACTGTTTTCATACTTAAAGAATCCCTTATATGTTAGCTGAACATGTGTCAAAATCTTACCTGTGAGGTAATTACTGGCACCAATCAAGAACCCAGCAAATCTACATGTCATCAAAATTGCATCAGGATGGAGAATTTGTGACCAATGCCACAGCATGATGTGAAAGGACATTCACTGAGGAATGTTCCTGCTGGTGATGAATGATATTGGTCTATGCTAGAACCATATTTAAGTAGGCCTCAAGGAAAAAAAGAAAATAAATGTAACAGATAATCTACCAAATGACTTATGTCTTTGGTTTGGTGAAGAATAAGTGGATTCCAGTTCCTCAAGGTCTGTATTTTCAAATTGTACCATGGACCAAAATGCTTCAGTAGGGTAACTCCTTGTATTTTAGCAATTGTGTGTAATGGTCCTCTTCAATCAACCTACATTATACTTGGACTGGAAATGGATGAGAATGCTCTTTCTATTGTGTTATTGTAACTATTCAGAAATCAAACTGCACTGAAAAGACCTTGCAGTGAATCCTGTTCACATAATTCCTGAATAACTCCTTTGGCTTTTTTTCTGGGTTTTCAGCAATATTGTAATCAACTTGTTAAAGAGGTGGGTTTATAAAAATCATGGTTTTAGAAGATTGTCACCACATTTTATATTACTTAAATCCCTTAGGTGAACACTGAGACACTAAAAATGGTGCTAAAATATGAAATATGGTAAGAAACAATATGATTTGAACATAGATGTATATGTAGAACATAGTAGCATGGTTTAGTGGTGGACTTGTCAGTATTAGGTTAAAGGTTGCACTAGATGATCTTAGAGGTCTTTTCCAACCTGGATGATTCCATGATTCTTTGATTTAGATTGATGCAGTCTCCTATGGATTTGTGCCCTGTATTTTTCTCTCCATCAGAATAACCCTAGCTTCCTCATCAAGTACGATGTTTCAGAAAACAGAGCCAGACTATATCTTGCATAGTGTGTGTTGATGGGCTGACTGGGAACACATTCACTGATAAGTTGGCTGCTGACAAACAGAATACATAATAGATGACTTCTACTTGCTTTTTCCTCAGTTGGGCACTGACTTGGATGATTCTCCCCTACCTGAATCCCTGTTTCTCAGGACATAATGGGAATGTAAGTATTGTTTAGATTCCCACCCTCCAAAAACATTCTTGAAACTGGCTGTGGGTTGAAAAGTTATTTGATGCTGTTGGATAGAGACAGTGAGACCAATTCACACAGAGAACATGATCATATAATTCTCATTTCCTTAGGAAAATAGGCTAAACACAAACGGCAATGAAATACAAACATTAGAACTGTTATCTGTTTACCTACAGTTTGAAAGAAAATTTAATTTACCGTATTCAAAACTTCCTTCCTCTGTTATGGTTGTTCACCTGGACATTTTTTGGAACAGTAATTTGTCATCAAATATTGCTCTGTGATTCAACCAGAAAGCAACAATCCCTGCTGCACTGACCCGGAGTTAATTCCTTAAGCCATGTTCTTTTCCCAGGAAAATGCATCATAAGACTGTCTGAAGAAAATTCCACTTTGTTACCGGCTCCATCAAAAAAAACCAACCTTGTATTTGGTACTCTGTGTTTCTGCAAAGCTATGACAGGTGCCTTTCCAGTGAGACTGCTAGACCCTGGGGGTGGCAGGAGACTCATGTAGGACCAGTATTACTCTTTCCCTTCAAATAGTTATGGCAAGAATAAAGTATGTGTAGGAAAACACAGATGACTGAAAGATCAAAATTCAAAGTAAAATTAAATAGGGAAATTATCAAGATGGCCTTTATAAAGACACTGATATAATCTTGATTGCTATGACTGACAGTATGACTGACAAAGGGAACTTGGCTATTCTAATGCTGAGCTATGATCCACCTTGTCTTTTGGCATGATGGCACCCAGCTGAATTTCACAGTAATCATCGGTGTCCTATGTGCAACATATAGACAAGCCACCCGAGCAGTAAGTCTTGAGATGCCAGCCTGCTGACGGTGAAGGAGTTGTGTTCTGGTAGCTAAGAAGCTAGCAGAAAATACTGAAAATTATGAACAGACGTAGTTAGGTGTGTGATCTCGGGCTTCATCTGTCCTATATTCTGGTTTCGTAATCGTGAATGTCTTCGATGCTAGAACTGTTTAAAAAAGGCTCAGGCCCCTTTGTATAATAAATTAGAATACTCACATGATATAAAAGAGATGTACATTTCAATTCCTCCTGTTACATTAAAAGCATGAACTTGGAACTTCCTCACTTAGCTTCCAGACAGGTTTAGGTAGACAGGAGCACAGCCTGAAGCTCTCCTGATTCTATCAGTTGTGTTGGTGTGGACTATAAATGGTGCTTGGACAAACAGCTTAGATGCAGATGCTCCAGTTAACTAAGATGAGTCATGTCCTGTACATCTAAGTGTCAGCTAGTTGCCTGACAGCTGCCGATTTTCTGTTGGATGTGCTTAAAACTCCTTATATTTCCCATTTCTAGAC